ACCTGGATTGTGGTAATGCTAACTACTGCCAAAGACTGCCAATGCAGCGTCAGCTGCCAGGGCCTGGCCCAAACTGTAAACAAGCAGGACACTGGAGAGTTGATTGCCCCACTTTGCCTAGACAAAGTAAGTTCATCTCCCCACCCCCATGTTCCTCCTCCACAGGAAAATCCGTTGACCTTCTGGGCCTGGAAACCAAAGACTGATCCTGTTCTGGTACCTCTGCCCAGTGCCATGGAGACCACAGGAGCCTGATGACCATCTAGGTAATGGACTAGTCACTGTCATTTTTATTGACACACAGGCCATTTGTTATATTTTCTTCTATAATTTATCCTTCTCAGATCTCTGAAGGCATTGATGACTAGGCTAACTGTGGCAACCAGGTCCTCCACAAGGCTGCAGCAACCTTGTTATTTCATTTCATACATAAAGATTAGGCCTTACCTTTTCCAGAGCTACTAGGACTCTTGGCGAGAAAAGGCAGACAGGATTGCCTTGCTAACAGGCTTCATATGAAAAGATGAACAGGTTTCAGATGTGACTTTCCACTACAGGAACAGGCTTTTCAATGGCTGTTCTCAACAATAACTGCTTATGTCTCTGGTAAATGATTAGAGGGAAAGAACAACATTGAAGTCTATGCAAGTTTTGAGGGTCTAAAAAATGTCCTGTGGTATATAACGGTCTGAGGCTATGAAAGCTTAAGTAAGTCCTGAGGGTCTCAGGGAGGGATTTAAGATGTAACCTAAAGGTATACATAAGCCATCTCAGGCATGCGAAAACGGGAAAGGTTTCAGATTTTCCCTACTCAGTACTATTGTTACACGAAGATTTCAGAAGTTCGGGATTTTAAAACCTTTGTCAGTAAAGTCTCTATAGACCAAGGAAGGGAAACTCAGGAGACTATATCCTGTGAATGTTAGCGATCTGGTGTGACAGGTTTATGGCATGACGAATGTATGCTTCATAACAAAAGTTTTCCTAGACTCTAGCTGAGTCAGTCAGCTTTGCTACAATGCTGTTTAATGAAGATGCACATTTTGCACAGTGCGGGCAATGGTTAGTTTGAATTGCGCAGGATTTCATCTGTGCAGCCCACTGGGTGAACACAGAAACTTCAGCCTCTCTGCTGGTCCACACTTTGAAGGAATGCACAAAACACACCTGGCAAACATTTATAAGCAGAAAAGCTCACTGTCTCAGTATGAGTCACACAGCTTTTCTTCTGCCTGGCAGCATTCCGTATGGCTGGGGCCCCTCCTCTTCTGCAGAGTGATCAAACACAACTCTTCGAACCCCTGGTCCCATACGCAAACACGGTTTCTTTTCAGTATTTTTAATAGTTTTAATCGCGTGGTGTGTATTCCTTGGTTTGTATTAGTGCACCTAAGTGCAGGTGCCCACAGAGTCCAGAAGAGGATGTCAGATCCCCTGGAGCTGAAGATGAGAGGCAGTGTGAGCCCCTGGACATGAGTCCTGGGAAGGGTCTCCTAAGAGGCAGTGTGAGCCCCTGGACATGAGTCCTGGGAAGGCTCTCCTGCAGAGCGGTGAGCTCTCTTCAGGATGGATGCATAGCTCCACCATCTAGCCCCCACCCCGGTTTGTGAAGTGTCATACCTAGTTAAATACAAATGGATTTCTTAACCATTTAACATGTGTGGAAAATTAGAAACTGTTTTTCTGGTGTTAGTAACAAATATCAATAAAAATAAAATAACATTCTTCAAAAAAAAAAAAAAAGAAGTTCAGGGTTTTCACATTGACCAATGAAGTTCTGATGGGCTGCTAGAGCACTGTCTATTTACTGTTCAGCCACAGCTCAGTATTTTAGGGGGGGTTGCTGTTGTTGCTGTTGTTGCTATTGTTGCTGTTGTTGTTGCTGTTGTTGTCTTGACTTGAAAGTGCTTCTCATTGGGCCAAAGGCAACTCTGTCCAATCTATATCTAGCTCTCAGGGACAGAGGAAAAAATGTTCATGTTTTTTAAACCAAGTCTATAACCATTGCTAGGACTCTCAGGTGTGAGTCTACTCCAGATGTTTAACAAACACGTTACCTCCTTTTTCTGAAATGTGGATTTCATTACAGATTGGCAATGATAATATAGGTAAACCTTTTATATCTGTTTGTAAAATGAAAATCTCACATAAGCTTCAGAGACTTTAGGAAGTCATAAGACTTGAATTCACTTCTCACAGGTCAAAAGGACTCCAGATAAGTACAGCCTACCTACGTTCTCAACCTCTCTGTCTGTCTGTCTCTCTCTCTCTGTCTCTCTCTCTCTGTCTGTCTCTGTCTGTCTGTCTGTCTGCCTGTCTGTCTGTCTGCCTGTCTCCTGGTCTTGGGACTCCTCCCCTTCCCCAATTACTAGGACTATGGACCTGAAAATTCCAAATGTAAGATTTTCCTTTAAGTTCCTAAATTTTAACTTCTGTGCCTAGTCTATATACGTCTCAGCATATTTCCACTTTACTGACGGCAGCATCGGCTGCTGACTACAACCTGTTCCAAACCACTGTGAGCTCTGGACTTGTTGAAAGCTGATGTGGACCAGTCCAGTCACCGAATGCCCCGTCTCTTCATCTGGGTCAGTGAATCAGATGCTGTGATGAATGCCCTTTGCCTGAATTCCCTTCCTGCCTTTCACCACCATTCCAGCCTTCTTGGGCGCTGGCAACATCAGCTTATTTTCAGCAGGAAGTAGTTACAGAAGAGTGTGTTGCCCTTTGTCCCCCAACATGCTGGAATGTTAGATCAAAAGAAAACTCCTTGGCACAGGGGACAAAATCGATACCTATGGTGCCTACTGGCATGCCAGGGAAGGTACCTGTCAGAACCAAATAGACCCAGATCTACCAACAGGAAGATTCGTTAGCTGAATAGTTCTACAGTATGATAGGACACTCAACCAGCTCTATGTAAAATAGAAGCTACTGTGTAGCTTTAAGAGAAAATATTTTTATATAAACCACTTAGGAATTGTTAGAGATATTCTGGTTATACTAAAAGAAATTATTGCAAAAAAAGGAGAACCTGAAATGAAGCAAATAACTACTTCCCATTCTCATTTCCAGGTTCCGTCTAGATAGTAACTTCAATGTCAGCCATCATAGGGCCTTTGTTCTTCTGCTTCTTCTAATTGCTGTTGGTTCTTGCATCACTGATACCTTGACTAAATGTGTCTGAGTCCATTAAGCTGCTAGTTATTAGATCCCAATATAAACAGAATCAAGGACTTGACTCAGGATACAACTCAAGGGAAGAATGTGAGAACCAAAGCTACATTTTAAGTTTTAATCACTATGCCTAAGAATCCATGAAACGGAAATGCCTCTGATAAGCAAGCTTCTTGCCCAAGGACATATAGCTCCTGGAATGCTGGAGGCTGTTGTTTATGGAAGGTGACAGGGCACAAGCCTTTCACTCCCCTAAACAAGTTTGTTTGACCCATCTGCACCAGATGTTCTTGATCGAATGTGGGTGGGAAGTTCACAGGCAGGAAATATGTCAGGATGTATGCTTGGCCCTGATTGGATGTAGGCTGAAGGTATGTCTGGATGCATGCTTGGCCCTGATTGGATGTAGGCTGAAGGTATGTCTGGATGTATGCTTGGCCCTGATTGAACCTGATGGGAAGTACTTAAGCCACTGCAAAACTTGACTGGGGGCCATCTTTCTGGGGAACCAGAGATGGATCTGGCCAGAGCCCAACCACCTGGCCAATATTTAATTAAAGTTTGCTTCAAATTTGACTTTAAACTGTGGTCTTATTCTTGACCAGTGGGATTAACAGGATATGGTCTGAGTGTGCTTCACACCTTCCCAGACTGAGTATACTGTGAGTGTGCTCCCCCCCTCCCCCCTCGCCCAAAGGCTGGACATGATCTGAGTGTACTCCTCACAGCCCCCACCCCAGCTTCAGGAATTAAAATCTAACCCCCATTATGAAGATTAAGAAGGCACAACTCTTGTTTTAGAGGTGTGAAAGTAATTAGGATTAAATAAGGCCATCAGACTGAAGCTCCCAACTGAATTTTGATGGGTTTTATAAAAAGAGGGACAGAGACCAGACAGACACCCACACTTCTTAATTCTTGCCATATGAACTGTGTGATGCTCTACCCACCTTAGGGTTCTTTCAATAACAAGATCACCAAATTCAGCACCTTGTCCTTGTTACCTATAAAACGGTGACTTAAAAAAAACAAAACATTCTTTTCTTTATGAGGCTAGCTTGCTTTGTGTGTTTCAATATAATAGTGAAATGCTGACAAACACACGCTCCCCACAAACACTATTACATGCAAAGATATTTTGACAGATCTTCTCCTGGTTTCAAAATACACTTATCTGCAAATTTAAAGGAATCCACTCAGTGTTTGTGCTGTTGGAGGTGGAGGTGGAGGTGGTGGTGATGATTATGGTGGTGATTGGTGGTGGTGGTGGTG